ATTTGTCGAAAATGTTATTTATTTTTGGTGAGTTTTTACATTTTATTTGTTGACACGTTTTAGTGCAGAATTCTAGCGCAGGACTCCGAGACGAGCACATCTTGAGAGCACAGAGTCAGCACCTAAGTGCCTGGCTAGTAAAAGTCCATTTAAAGTCATCTTCCCAGGCAAAAATTTGTTAAGTCAGTGCACTGGATACCGCTTCTGCACCAGGGCTTGTATTTCTTACCCTGCATTTCCTGCTGCATACCATGAACAGGACTAAAAAGCCGGCAGGACGGAGTAGTTGCAGAGCGCAGTGAAGTTCAGCACAAGGCAGCAAAGAACCACACCTCGAAACAGCACTCTTGGATTAAGTCCTTGGCATTAAAGGTAAAGGAAAGGGGAACTTGCTACAGCAAGCTACCCATTGACCGCTGCCGCTGCAGCTACTCTGCAGGCAGCAACCGTATACTGGAACGCACGCAGGAAAGCCAAGGCATGTGAATGAATACTCACCCCATCCATTCTGTCTGTTGAATTACGCTTGCAGCTCTGGATCCGTGGCTGACAGCCCCAGCAACCTGAGTTAGCATCTTTTATCACTTGTATGCTTATAGAGGGGAAATGTTGACAAGGCGCAAAAGCAGCAAAAAATGGTGAGCGGAGGTCCCAGGGAGGGACGCTACAGCCCGCCAGACCAAACCCATGGTCACGGACAGAAGCTGTGAAGCACAGAGGTGCAGGGAATAAGGAGAAGTTGGCTGAAGAGCTGTTGTGTTTGCTGGTTGGTTTGGGGTTTTTTTTGGCTCTTCCTCACCACCAGTTTACAGAAGCTCTTCAGTGAAAACTCAGCGGAATGAATCAGATGAATTTCAGAAAATGAGTGGTAAGTGGAAAATTGTGAAAGGTGAAATTGGAGCCTGAAGTATTTTATTAAATATACAGCTGGTGGGTAAATCCTTTCTCATACGCATGGGCACAGATTTATTTGAATGGAGGAAGAGACAAGGGTTAAGGAACCTGCACGAGTCTTTCCTCTCTTTAAACACATAAAGTGTGATGTGTGTTCTCCCAGCTACGTGACAGGGCTGGGTTTATCCCGCCCTTATTGCTTCTGTAACACGCCCAGACTTCGAGGAGATGCCTGTAAATCTGGCAGTAAATAAACCATCACTTCTGCAAGTGGATTGGTGAAGATGATTCATACTCTTGCTAGAGCAAGACAGCAGGATCAAAGTTTTTCCCCATCATCACTCACTCAGTCATTGAGTTACCCTGCCAGCTCCTGATCATGAATGTTCCTCATCACCTCTTTACACACCAAGGATTGCAGTGTCTTATAGAGCAGAATAAACTGTGTTTAACTTAAGGAGAAAATTGGGCTGTGCTTATACAACACTTACTTTAGTTTAGTTTTACACCAAGATGTTTTTTTCAAAGAATCTATTGTGCTGTAAAATGAAAGACAAGTTCTCTGCCATGTACCTATCATCAACCATCTGCTGAGATTGCTGAATTATAGAGTAAGACTTTTAAAGGCTATTGCTAGGTTGCTGGGTCACCAGCCAGCCCTGCTAGACAGTACATTATAAGATTTTAGGTCTAATACAATAGGAAAAGGTTTGCCACAGTTTTGAGCAGTGCTATCAGCACCAGTGAGTAGACAGACAAGAAGATCATGGAGAAATTCAGACAAAAATCAGAAAGATTTTACTGCAACAACCTGCTACACCTTAGGGTTTCAGTTGCGTTGAAAGGCTGACATCCTCAGCACTGCTATGCTGAGGCATTCCTACCATACTGCTTCAGAGAAGGTTGACAACTATTATACGCATTATTTTTTTTTTTTGTACAAAACAGTCACCCTTTGGATACAGTAATGGGTTCTCAATTCAATTTTGCTTAGCTGGAAAGGTTTTTTTTTTTTGTTTCCACAGTAATATTCCAAAGTACTTTACATGAACCGACCCTCGTGACAAACAGAGGGTCCCACTGATTTGACTGTCTGCTCTGGATTTCACTGGAAGCTTGCATTTGTAAGAGTTTGCTTCTATGGGACTGGGGTTTTTACCTGCACATAATAAATACCAGAGTGATAATATTTTTTTTCCACATGACATGCAATTTCATGTCTCTCTAGTTAATAAATGGTAACATAATCCTTCTCAAATGCCTATCCACTCTTGAATATGTGATACGCTTGAAGACTAAACACTTGAATTTACATTTTTTTTGGTAGAGTAGGGTTATTTTGGTTTAGCTGGTGTATGCTTCTTTGAGGAGAAGGGCAAGAGGAAAGAGCAAGCCATCTGGCACCCCGTAAAACAACTCTCCCAATTATTGTCTTGATTTCCTAATTTACACTTCTGCATTTACACTTTTGAAATATGTGAATTCTTAGTAAAAAATCAAAGACCTGAAAATTAAACATTTCATAATGGCTTTTCTGCACAGGTTTAAACAAGCTAACTAGAACTTAGTTTTAAGAGATGCTGCCTTCCTGCTATCCTCAGTGACTGAAATTAAGCGTTCAGCATCTGTGGAAGTTAAACACTTAGTCTTGATCCTACTGAAATTTGTGTAGTAATGCTACCTTAAATGGATATGCATGAAAGACAAGGTCCTTCGATTTATCTGTATCATTCACAGAAAGAATGTACAACTACTACTGCAGGGATGAAACTCAAAAAAACCTTTTATGATTTTTATAGCGCCCTGTACAAGAAAGGAGCACAAGTACATGGGTATTTTACAGTCAATCTAAGCTCTTGAACGCATGCCACAGAAGACCTGTTAAAGTATGATGTGGGTTTTACACAGATGTAAAGCTTCTGCTGAAGGAGTATAAATTCCAGCTATCTGAGAAAAGTCTGTTTGTCACAGGAATACTCCAAACGGGAACATCTAAGAGATACTGACGCAATTTCAAGTCTTTGTTGTAGCAGTAATCACCACGGTCCAAGGACACAAACGAGGCAAACTTTACAGACGTATTTTATTTAGACAGAGCTTTCAGGCACTTGGGCTCATTTTCAAATGTAACTAAACAAAACAAAAACTCTACCAACAAGTCTAATCTTGCAACAGGTCCTAATTTCTCTAGTGAAGGGTCAAATATTCGGCATGTTGGCTCCTCTGTACAAAACCCTGATGATACCACATCTTCACTTAGAGACAGGAGCTCTCATTAGTGTTAAAAATAGTCTCACTCATGGAATTTTTAATAGAAATCTTAAATTTACATGTATTTTTGTAACTCAGCCTTGAGGGAAATCACTGGAACTGCTAGTAAAACTAACTTGGGTCAAATACGAATCACAATCTGAATTTTGTAGAAAAGCTAGTTAAAAACTATGAGTTGCTCAGCTGAGAGGTGTAATAAAAAGTATCTGTATTTTCTCACCCTTTTTGTTTTTACAGACAAAACCCTGAGTTGTAAGAATGCTGAGATGGCAAAACTAAGTGCTCAAAAATTAGGAAGTGTTGTTTAAAAGCACTCTGTGACCTTGCTGTGATATCCCTTTGTGTTTGTCCTGCCACCCATGGTTGGGTTACACGTTTTCATGCCATTTTTCCCATGGAGGCTCTGCCTAGTTCTGTACAGAAGCATGTCTAGCTGTTACTGCCCTCTCCACATTCTGTTCTCTTTGTTTCTTCTTATATTTCCAGCTTGCTTTTTCTTCTTGATCTAGGACAGCTCCATGCTTCCTCACACCTCCCTCCCATTCTCCATGTCCCCCTCTATATACTCTCGACCGCTACACTCACCTGTTTCCCAGCTATTATCTTTTGCCGAAACACTTTGCCCCCTCAATCTTATCTTTCCTGTTCAGACCCTTGAGTTCTTGCTTTCATCTTTTTTAGGCAAGATTATTCATACTCCTCCCACTCTTTACCTATCTAGTTAGGCAGATTTTTTTACATTCGTAAAACTGAGGGGGGTACCTGTAGACATTTCAGCAGTATGTAAGAGGCCAAGACATAGCTAGATATGACCAAAATGCAGATCAAAAAAAGTAAATATTGAGCGTACCTGCATAAAGCCAGAGAAGGGGGAGATAATCTGGAATAAAGTTTTGTAAACCTTTTAATAGGCCTAAATATGCGTTATAAATTGTATGTTAAATGAAGTAAGGCTTTTAGCCTAAGTAGTCCAGAGAGATCTCAACGGAAACCTAATCAAAGGAAATGGTTATAATAAAAATACTAATAGCAGCAGTGAACTCTTTACCTTTGCTAATTGAACTCACTGCTGGGCAGGGAAGTTGGACTCGAGTTGAATTTCACCCTCCTTTCTCCAGGCAGAGTGGATATATTTCTATGACTGCATATCCACGTCAATGATTAGGTGCTCCAAGGCAGTTTTCCACCAACACCGAGCTCTCCTCTGCACGGCAGTTCCCAGCCGCGAGGAGCTCGCTCCTTTTTGCCGTTTAATGCCTGAAGGGAGGCTATTTTCGCCTAAAAGGCAGGCGGCCGTCCTTAGGGGTGCGCGGGGCCCCGGGACGACCCGGCCGCGGCGGGCGGTGCGGGGCAGCCCCCGCCCGGGCACCGGGGCCGGGCCGAGGGGTCTCCCCGCCCCGGGGCCGCACCTCTCCCTCCGGGGAGGAGCGGGCGCAGCTCCTTAGTGGCGCTGCGGGCGAAAAACAAGGCGGTGGGCTTAAAGCCTAAAATTCTAAAAACCGGTAAAGTCCATAAAAGTGTTAAAAAAAACAACACCCCGAACGATTAATCGTCGCAGCCGGTCTGACTGGGGACGCGGCACACCTGCCGCCTCCTCGTCCTCCTCCCCTCTCCCGCTCCGGCTCGGGAGGGTGCTGAGGGGTTAAGCCCCGCCGGGGGTGGAGGCGGTCCCCGCAGCGTTCCGCCGCGGTTTGCTTTCCAATGGGGCCGGCGGGGCGGCGGGGCTGAGGGCGGCGGGGCCGGAGCCGGAGCCGGCCGGGCTGAGGGCGGCGGGGCTGAGGGCGGCGGGGCTGAGGGCGGCCGGGCTGAGGGCGGCGGGGCCGGAGCCGGCCGGGCTGAGGGCGGCGGGGCTGAGGGCGGCGGGGCTGAGGGCGGCCGGGCTGAGGGCGGCCGCGGGGCCGGGATGTCGCAGGCGCCGCCGCCGGGCGCGGGTCGCCTCAACGACCTGCCCGACCACTCGCCGCTGGTGCGCGGCGCCGTCGCCGAGCTGCGGCGGCGGGCGGAGGCAGAGCCCGGCCAGCGCTGGCCGCAGCCCCTCGCCGACTCCTTCCTGGTGAGGTTCCTGCGCGCCCGAGACTTCCACCTGGACCTGGCCTGGAGGGTAAGGAGGGCCGGGGGGAGCGGGCGCCGCCGGTGGGTTCCCCACCCGCGGGGCTGAGGAGGGTGAGGCGCGAGGGGCGGCCTCTCCCTTTGCGTGGGGAGCCCCCACCCCGGCTGTCAGCCAGCCGGCCCCGGCCCTCCCCGGCGGGGTCCCGGAGCCCCACCGAGCCTCGCACCCCGCCGCCCCCGGGGCGCCTCGCCTTGAGCCCGGGGACGGGGTGTGTGTGTGTGTGTGTGTGTGTGTGTGTGTGTGTTATCGCCGCGCGGGTGTGGGCCGAGGCCGAGCACGGAGCGAGTGGCGCTTGTCACGCGTGTCTCCAGCGTGGCGGCGTGTGGACGTGCGGCGTCGCGGCTGGCTTCGTGCAGCCTCGGTGAGGTAAGGTAAAGGTTTTGGTGAGCGTGGCGCAGTCACGGAGCGCGGAGGGTCAGTAAGTGTGGGGAGGTCACGGCCCGGGTCGGGAAGCAGTATCCTTCACGGGACATGGTGCTCATCGGGGTCAGGTTACTCATTACTAGTAATGATACTAGTTTCCGTACAGATTTATACATACTCTAACGAAAACGCTATGAGTAAAAATCGGAGTAAAAATCGGTGTTCAGTCATTTATAACACTCCTTTCAGGCTTTGGTAAGTTTTGGTACTTTTCTGCCTGTTTGTGGGCCCTTTGCCATACAGATAGCACGTACATATTTTTAATATCGACAGGTACAAATTATTACTGATTTTTTTTTTTTTTTTTTTTTAACAGAAGGACTGACAACCACTAGCCTTCTGAACAGAAAGTATTTCCAAATCTTCCCAGGGCAAAAGCATTTATTCACTTGTACCAACTGGAAACTCTGTTTTATTAGAATTAAGTGTTGATGACACAGCATTGCCCAACAGACCTCACCTTTTAGTTTCTGTCTTCTCTGCACGGTAGATTTTCCAAGTTTAATTACCATAACAGAAGTTTGTATGCATATGGATATATTGCAGGATCAGGGTAGCTAAACAAGAATATGAGAAATTAAATTAAGCCCTTAATCACAAAGAGCTTTAAAAATTATATTTTGTTTTCTTCTCATTTGGCTCATAAGACTTGCATCATAACTTTAAACCGTTCTTCCTCAGCAGAAGCACTAGCAAGTCAAGTCAGATTCCACTGGATATTTATGGATCTTACTTTTGCTTGAAGTTTGAGAGATTGTTTATATCAGATGTGCAATAACAATTGTAGGGCCGTGCCTTTTTCTTCTCCAACAACAGCCATTTTGTTTTCCTATATTCCTTGGTTCCAAAAAGTAGGCCTTGGTAAGACAATGTGCACTCCTAATTGCGTTGCAGTTGGTGGTTGTTGATAATCCTGTAGACAGGACAGTGACACTTCAGAATTTGGCCCATATGTATCTGCACTTTCTAGTCATTAATTGTGAGATGGATGCCTTGTAGGCAGGACTGATCTTTAAGAGTGTGGAATCTAAGCTGGGTTTAGAGATGGAGTCTACAAAGTAGCAAATTTCCTGTATTTTTCTTAAGAATCCCCTCTAGGGCTGGGAACCTGTTTTGGAAAGATTAAGTCTTTTCAGAATCTTTTCAGAATTTCTGAGTCTCCACAGGCCGATAAGTTTCTAAATTTGTTGTTTGGACCCTTCTTTGAACTAAGAGATTCTGATGTTCAAAACCCACCTGTGTTTAATCTTTCATTCTAGAATTTCAGGTCTCCAAATGCTGTAGTGACTCGTACTTAATTTTCCACATACCAGCTGACACTGATATCTAGGTTACTCCTTTAACAGCATGGGAAGAAGAAAAGCAGCACTTTTTTTTTTTTTTTTTTTTTTTTTTTGACAAAGAATGTGTTTATCTGCAATTGGTATATTAAAGCCCAAGAGATTATTGTGCAAAAATCAGTGGTGGTCATGAGAAGTATATTCATTTAAACCAAGTCTCTGACCTCATGCAGCGGTTATGTTAATACTTCATCCTAGACAGAGCTCTCCTGCCATCAGTCCAGACAGTGGCTGCTCCCTCCCGTCTTTGTTTGATGTTGCCTCTCAGTTTGGAGTTCAGGCTGGTACAGTCCCTTTTTGCCCACTGGGCTCCTGTGTACTTGTAGCGTACTTGTAGAGCAGCTAAAGGGATAATCGAAGTTTCTGGCTCTGTCAGTGCTTGCAACCAAAGGTTTTCAAGACCTTGTCAAGCATCTGTCTTAGTATGGTCTTATACTTGGCCTTAAATATGGATCAAGAGTCTGGCAACTGACCAGACTGTTTATTGATGCATCCCTGGTTAATATTTGACACAGATTTATCTGATTTCAGTTTATCAACATTTGGAAATGGTTCAAAAAAGAATAATCAGGTAGATTGTGGCAAGACACTCCATTTCAGAATCTTTTATGATGACTCATTCCAACAGCAATCTTTACATTTTTCCAATGGCAATTCCAGGCTTGCTTTCAAGTATTGATGTATTGATACATGTCATACTAGAAGAAAATCCACCACTGAAGCAGGTAGCTGGAATCTGTGATCTTGAAGAAGAGCTAGAACTGTCTGTATTTTTTAAAGCAAATGATTATTCAGTTAAGCTTGGTAACGGACTATTCTCAGGTTAGAAGAGAATTCTTTTTCTGCGTTTTGAATCACAGGAAGGATTAAACTTGGCCCAGTGCCTTATCTGAGAAAGTGGCTGGGGGTATATGCATGAACCCGAACTGCTTAAGTACAGGCTCCAGAAGAAGAGCTGAAGTTTAGAGCAGATAGCTTCCACAAGAGGATTTCAAATGCATAAATGTTATTGGTAAGAAAGTGTTAAGTCAGTCTGTGTGAAATACTGGCAGAGATTTGTCTCTAGGAATGAACAGAAAGTCCTTTGGTGTAAGACTAACAGTAACTGTCAAAAAACACAGCAAACCTTCAATAGCTAAATAAGAAATTTTCTTGTCCTGTGAGACTTCTAGGCAATACTTAACCTACCTACCAAAAAGTAACACTCAGAAGGAGCAGTGTTGTGTCGTTACAACATTTTCCAGGCCTTTGTAATTCCAGTTAGAGATACAGGTGTGGATGAGGTGCTAATGGTGCAGAAGGTTTCAGTCTGGATATAAATTTGTACCCGAGCTGAGCATGTTGTTTGCTCATTAATTTGTGCAAATGCACCTACATATATGCTGTAAACGGAGAAGCAGGGCCACAGGTCTCCATTAGCTGTGCTAAAGCAATGGGTTTATACATCCTTTTTTCAGGTCCCAGCTATGTGCGTATGTTTGACTTCATTGTTAAGGAAAACACCGTCACTCAGATTCAGTAGTGATATGTGAAATCTGGAGAACTAGCATCTCCTTTCCTCCATAAATCTTTTTGCCTAGTGCATTTTATTATGTCCTTGTATTACATCCCACAACTCTTGTGTAAGACTAACTGTCAGTGACTTGGGGATACTGTCTTTTTGTACTTGAAACAGGTTATACCGTGAGGAGGAGAATAGAAATCTTTAAGTTCAGTAAAAATGCAACATTGAAACTGTATGCCAAGAGATGGTTTCATAACACAACTTAAGATCTTTGTAAACAATGTGTTGATGGCATTCAACACTGGCTAAATATCTAGGATCTTTTCAGGAGTTCTGTTTCATACAAAGGTATATAGCCAGACTTTGTTTTTGCTCTCTGCATTTGATGTATGGAGAAATCAAGACTTCCTAGTGTGTTGTACTGCAAATAAGTTGCTTAGAATAACTATGATATACAAGAAGGATTGTTTCCCATAGTGTCAAACACGCTGCTAGTCTCAGGCATTACCTCTGAGGATCTTCACGTCGTTCAAATATAAATACCAAGTTGAAATGTTACTTGGCTGCTTTTCTTCCATGAATACGGAGGGATTCCTCAAAAAGGATGGAATTGCTCCTATTAGGGCTCTCTGGGCTGACTGTTGAAGAAACACAAATCAGTCAGACAGTCTTCCCTCTGTGCTAAGCCAAGTGTCTCAACTTAAGCATGTGCCAGTCTCGTCTCAACTTAAGCACGTGCCAGTCTTTTCCCAACTGGCAAAGAGGAAATGCATGTGGAGTTGGGAAAGTTCTGTGCCTCTGTGAAAATATTTTAAACTCTTTGTCTGTGTAATCCATATGTTTATATTCTGTGTGTAGACATACACGCATACATAGAAAAGAAAGAATATATGTATGCACAAAGGTATTGTGTTTATGTGTGTGTATACGTATGTTTATATTCTAAAGTTTGAGCTGTTGGTTTCTCCTCCGAAGATTATCAGTAGAAAACATGTTTTTCCTAAACATCGTGTACGTTGGTACAACTGCTGACACAGTAGAGGCCTAATTCTGTCTAGCATCCTTGTCAATATGAATAGTTATTAATCAAGAAAAAAATACTAATTTACGTATACAAATTCATTGATTGGTTTATGTAACAAGCACGTTCTTTTCTAGTTCTTTTAATTCTAAGTAAAGTGCTAAGTTCACTTTTCTTTATTTTGTAGTACATGAATCTTGGATTAATTAGTAACTTCATCACCTTTGCTGTTCAGAAATCAGGAATTATCCCAAACAGAGCTCAGGAAAAAAACTCTTAATTAATGCTTAATTCCAGACACTGGACTTTTTCATCCAGCTTTCCCCATTTATCAAGTTACCTTGCACCTATTTTCAGATGCTGAGCAGATGCTAAGTGGGTTATTCAGTTTGTAACTGATAATTACACATTGAGATGTTTTCCTTGTGTTCTAAGTACATGAGCCATGTGTCACAGGTAGTGAACGCTCCTGTTTTTCCTGATATTAGGTTGCTTCACCTTTAATATCCAGACTGTTATATATAATATTTATGTTTTTCTTTGCTGTCTTTACTTAATATTTTTTTTAATATATTTTTAAAATATTTCACGTGAATTTCTGTGTTTAAATGATGTCAAACTAGAAATTTAAAAAATAAAGTAAAACTGTAAGTACCCACTGCTAGTTTTTTAATTCCATTATATATTTAAGGATTACTCATGTAAGTAGCTGTGTGTGACTTGAGTATGTCCAGCTGCTAAGAAAGGGATTGTTTACCTAAGTGCAAATTTACAGGATATGTCCCAAAACTACCCGTAGATGGTGTGGAAGATTCTCTAATGCTAACCTTTACTTCAGCTCTGAATCATTTCAGGTTATTAGATTAGGTTTTCAAAATCCGAGGACTCTTGAGCACTTTGTGCCTTTCTGGGCAAGGGAAGTATGTTTGGAGTTTAGCCATATTATGTATCCAAAAGATGTAACAGTTTCCCACGCCGTGGAAGGCGTTCAGAAGTATTCCAACCATATATTTACTGCTTAATGGACTTGCCAGTAGGTAAATTATGTCTTCTGTAAGAATCTTGAATGTGTCACAAGTTGCAAACACCATTCCTTTTCTCCCAACGTCCAGAACTTAAATCCTTGCCATTTCCAACTTGGAAAATGTAAATATTAATGAAAATGAGAACCTAACTGTACTGACAAGATAGGAGTATTTAGAGTATTGAATTAATGTATCATTTTTATTCTCATCTGGGTTTTGGCAGGCAGCGCTTCAAAGAGATGTTTAAAATATTTATGTAATTGTTAATCGGTTTAATTAAGTTGTGGTACAACAGATTTTAGAAGAAAAGGGAGGAATGATGATGCTACAGGTGTTTGCACGGTTGTTTTGAGGGTGTTTTTGCATTTTGCTGCTGTTTAAGTGTCTGTATTGCAGGGACCAAGGAAAAGGACACAGTATGCTGACAGTGCTGTCTGCCTGGCACAGAGCGGCTGGGATTGCTCAAGCAGTGCCCTTTGTAAAGAGTCAGGCACGAACAGAGTGCAATTATCAGAGTACCTCATCAGGCAATAATAGTGCATTTCTATTCCACAAATTAACTTACTTTCCCTACTCCCTTCCACCCCCCTCCCACCCCCACACCTTGTTTGTTGTTTTTTTTTTACCTAGGCTTGAACTGATTCAATGCAGTGAAAAGGCTTGTAGTAAAATTCTCCTAACGGTTAACTGTTTCTTTCTACGGGGCATGGCTTAGGATGAGGCTCTTACCAACTTTCTCATTGCCAAATCAAATGGCATTCTAGTGCGTCAGATGAACTTTTTCATTTTTGTACCTAAATACGTATTTATAGGTACTATTTCCATGAAGGATGTAGATGGTTTCTGATGAGTATATCATCTCTTTGTAAGTGAATTCTGCTGACAAACAATAATGCCTTGTAAATAGTTTCTTCCCGATACTTTGTTTGAGAGACCTTCAAAATAATTCAAGATCTTCATCTGAGCAGAAGAGCATTAAGTTGAGGAAAAAGTATATGTTTTGTGTAAAATGATACAAGAAATCTGAATGTAGAGGGAAGCGTAAGAAATAAGACTGATGATCTAATATAAGCATGCTTTGAGGTACAGGGTGGTGAGTCTCAGGTCTTCCTCTTAAGAGTCTGTAGATAAGCATCAGCATAGCTGATGCTGTGATGGTCCAAGGGATGAATTCAGTATCCACTGAGGTTCCTTCTGACCATTCTTCCTATGAAAGTGGAGAAGAAAATGAGACACGCATACATACAAGAAATTTGTAATTTATTTAAGGTTATGTTTTATTAGTTGGAGCTGACAGTTCTTTTAACCTGAATGTTTCTGTTGTGAAATAGGGAGTAATTGAGAAATGGAAAAAAAATTAATTTCTGTTAATACAAATTAACAGAAATAAAAGACCGTCGGTCGATGCTTTCATTGTGGGGAGCACATTTAATCTGAGAAACTGTGCTGAGAATCAGATTGGATTTTGCTGTTTGATGAAATCTAGTAATGATTTGAAAGGCTAGCCTGTGCATGCTACTTTCAAGACTGAATCTTACATTTCAGTTTTGTTCTGAAATGAGGTACCAAATAATTCTGATTCTCTTAGCTCCTTTGAAGGTCTCGGGTTAGAAGTCTGAACTGTAGCTATTTAGGAAACTTTAATACAAAATATAAATTACTTGTTATAGTTATTCCTCTACCGTCCAAACTCAGTGCTAAAGAATTTAGCATGGGTGATACAGAAGAAGCAGAATTTAGTTGATGAATTGAGAGGAAGCTTTTTAGAAGATAGTCTTGCATAGCTTCCCACTTAGGTATGCAAAATGTGTTAAATAAATTTTAGTTGCAGGGCATAGCAGTTAATTTTCTCCACTATCACTTAATTAATATTAAAGGAGAAACAGTAGTTAGACTTGGAAATTAGAACTACTGCATCACCAACTCAATTTTTCACGATCCATCTCTAAGATGACCTTTCACAGCACCACCTGCAATTCCTTAACATAGATGTTACCTCAGAAACGAACGCCTTTCATTGACTCTGCCTTCAAGTTAGGCCACCGCCTTTCAACACACAGCACCTCCTGTGCCTTTGACCTACCAGTTTATCATGCTGCCTCCCAGCCTTAGGAGCCAGGGTGATTGCAGCCCTGATAATGGACAGGATCTCTGTTTTGGCAAAACAGGTTCTCTTTATTTCCACTCTGGGGGAGGGAGATTGTCTAACGGGTAAGGAACCCACTATATTGTTAAATACTGCTATTTCAAAGGGGTATGAGGGACTTGAAAAGTATTTTTTTTTTTGGTATGCTGATGATCATACCTGTTTCAAATAGTAAACTAGAATTATTAATGACTGTGTGCACAAAAGGGGCTTATACTTTGGTGGGGGAGCAGTAGGAGGGAAGGGGTAGGTGGGTGAAGGAGAATGTTCCTCTGTAAAATTTTGCATGTCTCAATTCAGAAAATCCTGAAGCAATCTGATGCAGTATCAAACTGAATAACTGCAAAGGCAACCTGTGTAAGAAAACTGGGGCTTAGATGTATTTTACAGAAAAACTGCAGGCTTTTTCTACATATTCCAGTTTTCTTTTCTGACTGAAAACGACAACTGCAGTCCATTAACAGTTTGGCAGGGTTCTAATTTCATGATAACAACTCACTTGCTTATTTGATCCGGTATAACAACCTTCTGCTTCCAGGAGCGATTTGCTTAAAATACACAATGAAATTATAGCTAATTTAATGAATTAAATCTGACTATGACCACATGTTGAAAACATAGGTTTAATCATGCTCTTCATACAATACCTGTTGCATACCTGACATCCACATTTACTTTTTTCCAGTTATTGAAGAATTACCAGAAGTGGAGAATTGAATGCCCAGAAATAAGTGCAGATCTACAACCTTCTTCTGTTCTTGGTCTTTTGCATGCTGGCTATCATGGAATCCTGAGATCAAGAGACCCACATGGAAGCAAAGTTCTAATATACAGAATTGGTGAGTGACAAAATTGCTTGGACCTGTTTCACACCTGGCTCTGGCACCTATGTTTTTGTTTTGTTTTGTGGCTTGTTTGGGGATTTGTTGTTTGCTTAGTTTTGTTTTGTGTTTTTTTTTTTTTTTTTTTTTTTAAATTAGCACAGTTTCAGCAGCAAACCAGAAGTATTTTATGGGTACACCACTAGGGGTTGATAAAATTAGATAATATCAGAGTGTCTGAACTAGAAAGGTAACATATTTATGTTCACTGTTAAAGATACCTTTACATTAATATCAAGGTGAATTTATTGAGCTGTAACATCATTTGACTTATATACTGGAACGACTAAAGCTGTTCAATCCTTTACGAAGAACTTTTCTTTTTAGGGGAATTTTTGTCTGCATCAAGAGAAGTCTTAAATTTAAAAGCCTAAAACTTTTAAGAATATATGGCTATTTGGGTCTGAGTGTCCCAACAATTACTTGTTTCCATGCAGATTTTCAAAGCCCTGGGCTAAGACTGTGATACTGGTGCAAGGCCCAGCACAGAGCCGGGGAGAACAGAAGAGAAGGTGTACACTTAGTACCAGCGTTCAGTTTAGAAGTGGGTGAGAAGTTCACTGGGTTCCACTGTTTACACGTAGCCAAAGAGCCCTATCTGTCAACACCATTAAGGTCCTTGGTTTTGTCTGATGCACTCCCAAAAGTCTCTGAAAAAATGATGTAGTTAAATGATCTTGTGTTATTATATTTATTTTTGCTTGTTTTGAACAGAGACGTTATTTTTACCAACTTTCAAAGAACTGTTTTATTATCAGCTGGTCCAGTAGAAAGTTTTGCTCTGAAGCTCTCGTCTAGGGTTGAGGCTCATCCCATGCAATTCTTTGCTCAGGCCTCAGAAGAACACTGAATGTTGGCAGAATTACTGTGCTGAAGAAAAATTAAATTAATCAATGGGATTGATGATCTGTAGTTTCTGCTAGCATGACTGTTGCTGAATTAAGCTGTTTCTGTCAAAACCTTGAAGTGAAGGCTATGGCCATAGGTGGAACATACTACATTAGGTGGCATCTAATACCACGTACAAAAAGAGTTTAAAGGATGAATGACAGAGCAGGCACACGAAGTACCTTTTGTACTGGCAAATCTGTTTATTTCAGGACCTCTGATGTTGCTGGTTACTTGGTGTTGCTGAGAAGCACATTAGAAACAGTAGCGAGCAAAACCACAGGTGTATGAGGTATCCCCCCGTAATGCAGTGCAATCTATTTACTCTTCAGGACAATGGGATCCCAAGTTATTTACAGCATATGATGTGTTTCGTGTAAGTCTCATCACATCTGAACTCATTGTAAAGGAGATTGAGACTCAGCGGAATGGAGTCAAGGCTATCTTTGATCTTCAAGGGTGGCGATTTGCTCATGCATTTCAAATCAGTCCGGCAGTGGCCAAGAAAATTGCTGCTGTGCTCACAGTACGTATGACATTCTGCCTTATGCTTCTTCATTGCTGTATCTCCCAATTTTTCATCTCTTGGTAAATTTTTCAGCTAGGGTAAATTTTACTTTCTTAGGCCTTCTTAGAGTCTGTGCAGCTCGAAGGAACAAAATTTTAAATCCATTAAGTGTCAGATAGCTCAGGCATAGGCTGTGCTTAATTTGACTTCAAGCATGTTCTTGTACAGCAGTGAATGCCCTTTACCCGCTGATGTTTTATAAGAACTCCACTGACCTGTTACGACAGAAGAATTTCATGAGTGTAAAAGCAGATGAAACTCAGTTTTGTAAGGATCTGTGTTCATTATCCCATTTCATCTTCTCTCTTCCATTCTTTTGTGTATTAATTCAACATTTAAATCGTTTCTTCCCCGAGACTCAGAGCAGATGAGAAATAGCATGCACTAAGAGTTAAGAGCCAGTCAGTACTAACTTGTTGCCAGTATGGGTGATGCTACGTGACCATCTGTCTGCTACCAACAGAATGTATAATGTTTATGTTCTGCTTGCTTTTTGCCTCCCAATGAGTGTTATTTTGTGCAACTCACTACTATCACCTCCTATTTTTCACAGAACTTGTAGGGACTTTACTGTCTTTGAGACTTGTTCCTTTCTGTCAAATTTGGTTGGAATTTGCCAATGGATGTAAGAGGGAAAAAAAAAAAAAGGAGGAACAAAAGGAAAAAAGAAGGGGACAGAGAATTGACAGGCAACCTACAGTGTAGTCCTATAATCTGATTTCCCTTCAGAAGTTAGGTTGAAAATCAGTAATAGTAGAACTGTTAGCCAGTGATGTGGAAATGATCCAGGGAGATAATCTCTTGCTGTTATGTGGTAAGGTTCATATCTGAGATTCAATCAGAGCTTAGTCATTGAACTAATACCATCAGAACCTCAGCTGTTCTTCCTTTTTTTTCTATCTGCTGTAACACTTCAGTGAAATCAGCAGGTATTTCCAACTCTTCACATCTAGAATAAGCACTCTTGATGTTCATATGATCATGGACCAGATCTCATGGGAAAAGGATGTGTGAGAGTGTTTCAGTTGATTTCTGGGGTAGTAAACAAGTTGCTAGTAATTTTTAGCCTTGAAATAGAGCAGAAAGGACGTAGAATAGGATTTGCAATTACATCTGAAGGTTTCAATCCATTATCTTGAACCAGGAATTCTCTGAATGTGATGTTTCCATCTTGACCTATTTCAGATTTGTTGCATGGTTTTCAAGCTTCTAAATGTTTATGATAGCTATTGAAAAAAAAAAAGACAGGAAAAAACCCGTGTGTTTCCAGTGTTATTTTCTAAGAAGAGAAATAAGTTTAACTGGTTTTGTTCAGGTTCCTTTCATCACTTTAACTGGGTTCATATATTTCACCCAGTCTCAGTGTTGTTCAGTATGCTTATAAGTAAAAATCAAGGAACCTTCATTTCAATCCTGTTTTCCTTAAGAAATATGTCTTGCAAATTACTATCCTGTATTAAGAAGCAGAAATTAATAGAAAAAGAAAAAATGTACAAAGGAATGGAAAGCATAGTAAGATGCTTAGCAAGTGACATCATCTTGAAAAATCTGTTATCCCAGGCAAAACCAAATTGTTCTGTGGAAAACATGATAGTAGACTATAAGTCTATGATAACACATAGTAACATGCAGTAAACCTCTAATCTGATAGTTTTAATGTCTTCATCATACATTAGAATATAAAAGGAGTTGCACCTAAGAAATGTGTGGGTTTTGGGTTTTGTTTTTTTTTTTTTATCCATAGAAGAGTGAATGAAATAATGTGAGAAGAGCTATTGTACTATTGGGGAGAAATATTTGTGAGAAGTACCGTATTTATAAGCAGAAAACCTCTCGCTGCAGAGGTAGTATGAGGTGGGATACAAATGGAAGCTGTGCTTTCCCCATTGTATAATGCTGTCTTTGAGCACTGCCATCTTTTAACTTTCAAGGTCTGGGACTTCGAAATGAACCTTGAATGCAAGTGGAAGTATTTCATATTATAGAGGCTGTATAGCAGATACCATTTTTATTTTCATTATGACAGTAATCTGGTTGTAAAGCTGAACTTCGGGCTTGGGCAAATTTCCAGTAATTTCAAGGCTTGTCTCTAAATTATAATTTATTTAGCTTAAATTTAGTAGCTTCAGTGGTTTATATTTATATATATATTTACATATTATCCTTCAGGCTGTGAATTGCCACTGAAAGCACGTGGCTAGATAGCTTTTTGGTAAAGTATCAGCAGGATCCCTGTTGTGAAGAATTGTACCTCTGAGGGGAGACTGAGCACAAGCTTTGTGTACATTACTTATGTGCAATTTGGTGAGGGTTTTCTTGTTCATTTGTTTATTTGACTGAGTTTTTTTAGTAGTAAGCCTCTCGTCACACTGATTTTTATTTGATTCTCCCCCCCCTCGCCTTCTAATGGGAGGAACAAGATGTGATTTTTTTTTTTCTAAGTGATGTGGCAGGGTAAATTAGGAACACTCTAAAGTGCAGGAATTGGCAAGGTCAGGAGGAATACTCTAACACACAGGCTTGATAGTTTTCACAGATTTGTACTTAACAATAGAACCTTTTCAATAATATTTTTTTTCTTATGCTGTTTTTCATATATGTTGACAGGATTCCTTTCCACTAAAAGTTCGAGGTATCCACTTGATTAATGAGCCTTTATTCTTCCACCCAGTCTTCACTCTAATTAAGCCTTTTCTCACTGAAAAAATAAAGGAACGGGTGAGTGCACACAAATATTTCTTTCTGCCACAAAACCCTTACATGAGAGTCTTAGGAAACTTTTCCCTTAGGATCTGGCACTCCTGGGCACTGAAGAACATAAATCATTTTTGTGTGTTAGTGCCATACAGGCCTCCAGAACCTGTTTGTAAAGCATTTGCAGTTATCAATAATGTGAGTTGCAAGTAGTTTCCGTTATCACCACTCTAAAGATAAAAACCACTGTGACACAGAGAGGTTAAATAATTTGCTTGAGGTCACACAGCAGTTATTCTGCAGAACTAGGAAGAAATAGGTCCTGGATCTCCCAGTACTCTGCCTATAAATGACAGTGAGAAATTGTCACTGAACATTTATGCTCCCAGTTGCACAGAATTAGTAGAAGACAACTTTTTAGTTCTGAAAGACCTGCAGAGGCATTTATGCGTCAAAAATAGGTCAGGCTTAAGTTCAAAGGTTTTTTTTTCCAAATAGCCTTACAGATGTTTTAAATTGTCTTGCAGTTTTAAATCTGAAAACCCTGTTTGTATTTGGATGCAAAAGAATGCCAAGAGTTCTGGTTTATTGTAGGATAGGAAGAATATTGGAGGTTTCAGCTGGCTCAAAAGGAAGTACTGTGAAGTATTAGCAGCAGGACTAAGGTACAAAATAAGCAGCCCTGCCTATTGTTATTCCCACTCTGAAGCCGTCTTGTCTCAGCACATGCACCTTGTGCATTTGCAGCAGTCCCTGCACTCCAGGCCAGTACATTCAGAATTCTCTGGTCACTGATTTCTGTTATTTGCCAGTCCCCTTTTCCTAGCATGTGTGTTTTGTTATGGGAGAGAGGCAAGATTGTTTCTGCTAGCCTTGTACGGTCCCTCGCTCTCAAAAGATGATTACAAAAAGGAGTATGTACCAGCAGCATGATGCTGTGGCCCTTCTCTCACATTAATACCTGTGAAAAGAGTCCCTGTCACCTGATCCAGCTCAGAATATCTCAGGCTGGAACTCAAAAACAGAAAAGAGGGCAGATGGACAGTAAAGGCATAAGAGAAAACAAACCAGATATCCCAGTTCATGGAACGGAGCAGAAGCAGATTGGCTTGCCTCCTGGCTTCGAGTTACAAGTATGATCTGAAGAAAAACCTCTAAGGGCCAGTCCCCCATACCTTCGTAGAAATAATTACTATTTACTTTCTGATGAGGAAGTGTTAGATAAAAGCATCTAACTACCTTTGAGTGCATATTCATGTCGATTTTGTGTAATAATAATTGCAGAAAATACTTGTCAGGTGTTAAGCGGCCTATAAAAGCGTCTGACTGGAAGTAATAAACAAGGCTTCAGAACAACTACAAGAAAGCAAGAAGAGAAGAGCCAAAACTACAGTATTAAAAGGGTTAAACCAGAGGAGTAGTTCAAGTTCTAATTTCAGTTGGAACTGAAATGTAAGGACTGAGACACAGATTCTTTTGAATATCCTCCTTGGCACTTGTCTGAACCTACATACATACTACATAATGCTGTTTTTAAATACACGTGGCAGGACCAGATAGTAACTGCCAGGAGTCAAATGCTGTTCTTTTTGTGGAAATGACTGAAAAGCAAGGACACGATACCTATCATGACAAGACCAAGCCCCAGACTTCCCATGAATGATCTCACTTTAGCTGTTCATATGTAGTGTGTACCCTCATCAGTGTCACTAAACCAGTCTGGAAAAAGTGTGTAATTAGTTTTGGCTCGTGTGCTCGCAGCTGCATAAAATGCAGTTCTCAGGTTGTGGTCCATGCTTCATCAAGCTGTAGATACTGAGCAGGACAGCTTGAGCACCTGTCGGAAGCTCATGTGGTACTTTCTTCTTCATTTAAGGAGCTCATTATGAGTGAGTGCACTTGTTCAGGCAAACCAACCTGGTGGCTTCAGCTCGTGCACTGAGTTTCTTCGCTGCCTATTTTTGCTCACTAGTCTAACGTTCATACTCGAGTAAATGCTTTTCATGTTTTGTTTTAGGTGTATATGCATGGAAATAACTATATGCAGAGTCTGACCGAACACTTCCCTGTCAGCATTCTCCCACAGGAATACGGCGGGGAGGAAGTCTCCATTGAAGAGCTGGCCAAGGAATGGACTGACTTTATAATGGCATCTGCAGATTATCTTCAGAGCATTTCTCTGGTTTCCCAGGAATAACCTTATTACAGTATTATATCGGTTCTTGAAAACTGGAAGTGGAAATAAGTTTAATATGAAATCTTTCATGTAAACTTGAAATTATTGTAAATGAAACCAGTATGTCTTTGCAGGGCACTGAGTATTATATTGACTGCACTTTTATAGCAACTGGAGTCTATCAACGTGTACATCTAAGGAGATTAATGAATTCTACGTATTTGCAATACAGTTTGCAATTGATTAACCTGTATGCCAGAAAGCTGAATAGTACATTGGATATCAAAGACTGATACTGTTGGAGACGGTAATAATGCAGTCCAGAACGTTATGCTTAGCTCTTGTATCTTCAAGGCCAGGCTGGACGGGGCTTGGAGCAACCTGGCCTAGTGGAAGGTGTCCCTGCCCACGGCAGGGCGGTTGAAACTGGATGGTCTTTAAGGTCCCTTCCAACCCAAACCATTCTGTGATCTTAGCTTATCAAGATAATAGGATACAAAAAAGAACAGAAGGTGAATGGGGTAGACTAGTTCGTTGTGAAGCATGGCTGCAGGGCTAATTTACGAAGAGTGGAGAGAGGCTGCTTTTTTGATTGATTCTCAGGGAAAAAGGGCTGTTTTTTTAGTTTGTGTCAAAGTGAAAATTAGGTAACCATAGTGAGACATTTGTATTAATCTTTGTGCTGCTTGTGCAGCTTCCATTTTTGTGGTCTTTAACACAATAATCTCTCAGTTTTATAGAGGAAGATGGGAAAATACCATGTAACTGTTCTTCAAAGCTATGAATCAGGAGGAGGAACTGGTAAAGAGACAAAACAACCTTGAAAATTCTAATTTTCTTTTTTCAAAGAGATACTGTCCATGGGCAAGCTATAAGCAACTCAGATTATGATCACCTTTAATTCCTACTGTAGAGAACTACAGAGGTCAAGAGCTCTTGGATGCTTGCAGTATCTGTTTGTTTTGGAGGGTGAAGTAATTTATCCTTTGTGGATCTGAACTTTAGAAATATCTGTTGTGTGGTTTAAGGGTGCTTATGGGTCACTTTGGACCTCTGTGTAGGAGATGCTGGATATTTTAATTTTATTTTCAGAAAAGTAATTGTAGTTCACCATTCTATGTCTTCTGTTGGGCACAGGAAGAAATTATTTTTAATTTCCGTTGAACTCTCTTCTTTATTTCTGTAGGGGTAATGAAAAAAAAAAATCTGTCAATACATATTGAAAATGGATTTTTTTTTTTTTAAGGGACATGATTCAGATGTGAATACTGCGTGTAAAAGCTATCGCTCCTATTACATAGCAATATCAACCTGCAATCTCCAGTATTTAATAATCTAAAATGCTATTTTACTTTTCACTTATATTTTTTTCTGTTATTACACCAACTACTAGTGTTCATTTACCCAGGTTTTAACTCTGTTTTGTAATAAACCAGGGGGTCTTTGCATAAGCACTATATGTTTAAGCATTCCATATGGATCTTTGTATAAATGAATCTATAACAAATGCTTTGTTTCTCAGGTAGCTAGAAATGCTAACTTCAGTTATTTTGGAATATTTAGGACATTGGGGTGTTATATTAATATATGTTAGCGAGAGAAATGAGACTATCCTATTAAATCAGAAATGTCTTATTTTAGATTATTACTGCATTATTGCAAAAGCCATTGGAAGCTATTTGTTATTTGCGAGAGGGCCATCTATGAAAGGCCCATAGAGTACTTGGTTGTCATTTCTTCTGCTGTGGTAAGGTCAATGCCAGATACAAAATTCTTTCAAAACTGGCAAGGATTTTTAATTTTTTTTTTTTTCCTTCCAATTCCCTAGTTTCCTCAAGTGCATTTTTCATTCTTCTCTTTCAAGATATTTTTGATATGGAGCCTACATTTAAATAAACACTTTTCAGATACATTTTCATATATTCATATATGAATATATCTTTCTAAGATTGAACTACTGTGTGATATAAAAGCTCCTTAAAAAGAGGAGTTCAGTGAAGTACTAATTCTTCTTTATAAGAAAATAAACTAAGTAGTCAGGCATCTGGCAGTTCTTCAAGTGTTTAACTCAAGTTCCAAATCATTTATGAACTGGAGAACTGAAGCTATTGTCTTAATTTTATGTTCCTTCAATTTTAGTCCTTGAATTTAAACCATGTAAAGGAATAAACTGTGTTTCAGTGAACTGGAAAATTGAAACTTTCTCTATGAAACCCATCTCTAATTGTTGCTGTTTTACGTAGCAGAGACTTCAGTTGGTTGTAGTTGGTTGGTTGTGTATGTATATGCACGTGGACAAAATGTAGCTGGCTTTTAAAAATCTTGATTTGGACCACATCAGCTCTGTAAGTAAGCCCTAGATGTCTTAAAAAATATCCTGAATCTGTTATTAAATGGTAACGTGTATGCGTAACAACAGTTAGAGCACTTAGTGCAGTTATTTTTTCACAAACTGTTAATTATTTTTTAATGTTTATGTGTTATATAGAAGGTGGGAATGCTAGGTAAGGGACAACTGCAGTTGCTGCTAATAAGAAGCACACAAGGTAATTTGAAGATTTGCGTAATGAATAGAAGAGGGATTGGTATGATTGGTGGTGGTATGGCAGCTTTTTGCTCCAGGGTCAACAAAACAAAACAGTAAACATCTCTAAGTGCATTATTCTTTAAGAGTATCAGGAGTGCCTCTCAAAAAAAAAAAACCTCTGCTGTTCAATGATGCTGCAAATACAACTTACTACTGACTATAAGCACAATGTAATGCACAATTTTTAAATTTTTTACGTGTCGGCATCATCATCATCATATTAATAAACCTTTTCTAGTTGCACCAGCATCGTCTGTCACTTTTTAGCGCTCGGAGCGTTGTTTTTGTCGTGGAGCACCGAAGCGGGCCCTCAGCCGGGCCGCGGCCATCTCCTCCCGCAGGCCTCAGGCGGGGGTGGGGGGCTGCCCGCCGAACTACATTTCCCGGCGTGCCCCGCGGCGGCGGGAGCTGCGCGGCGTGGGGAGGGGCGGGGCGGGGCAGGGCCGGGCGCGGTGCGGCAGCTTCTGCCGGGCGCCGCGGCCATGGCGCGACTCGCCGGGCTTCCTCCCGTCCAGGCAGCCACCCTCCTCCTCCTCCTCCTCCTCCTCCTCCTCCTCCGCCGCGCCGCCGCGGCCTCCCTCGTGCTGCGCGGCCGCCCGGCGGAGGGCAACGAGAGGCCCATCGTTGGTAAGGGGCGGCGGGGGGGGCGGCCCCTCAGCCGCTCGCCGGGGGTGAGGGGCCGGGCCAGGGCCGCCGGCTGCCTCGCACCCTCCCTTCGCTGCCCTGGGCCGGGGAGCGGCTCCCACAGCCGACCTGAAACGCTGCCGGTTTCTGTGTGGAGTGAAATCTCTCCCGGAGCGTAGGTTTGGTTAAAGCTCTTACACGTCATCTTACGCTATGCGTGCCTTGCTTAAAAACCTTAAAATAACAGTAATTGATCTAACAAACCTTGTAGCACTAAACAGATGAAGCAGGGAAGCGGTGTCTTAGTCAGATAATGTGTATTTGTATGGTATCCTGTGATTAGGCATTGTAATTAATGCACCATCGTCTCCGTGTTTGTAATCCTTTCAGGCAGTAAATTCGACATTGTAACTTGGCATACAGGAAATTGGAATTTATTTTTTCTTTCAGCGTGTAGCATTTGCTATGTGTATAGTGCTAATTCTCCTTCTTGGACCTTCCAGGGATATTGTCACAGGAATGTCACTTTGAGAAGTTCCACAGATTTGGAAGTTCTTATATTGCAGCTTCATATGTGAAGTTTTTGGAATCTGCTGGTGCCCGAGTTGTGCCAATAAGGTAGATTTTTGTATCCTTGCAAGTGGGTAATAATTGCTTAATGGAAGGGTATCTTCTTAGAGGCACAGGAAGCAGCTGTGCTGCTTTTCTGAGTGTTTAGAACTCATGAAAGACTATGTGAAGATGCCACAATTTGCAGGATGTTTTAGAAATGGAAATAAAAGCAGACCAGACTGGAACATGTAACTTTTATTATTTCTTCTTATGATAATAGCCTTTCTTTGAAAAATACTCTATTTTTTTTTCCTGTAAAATTGCCCTCCATAGTTTGCATCTGTGGTTTTTGAAGTTAGTTATATTCAATCTAATGTGTAGTACCTCACAAACACACATAGATATTTAGATACATATATACATGCAATCTTTTGTCACATTCTGTAGTCTTAGAATTCAAGTAATGGAGAAAGGCTATCGGTACTCCTTGAAGAAACCAAAACTCCAGTTCTGTTCAAACTGTGGGTCACTAACTCCACATCCTGTTGTTATTTTGGTTGTTGGGTAAAAAGTAGCCAGGTAACAGAACTGACAGTGCTTCATAGCCAACAGTTAGCTATGAAATAGTAAATGCACTGAAAGCAGATGTTGAAATGGTAATTGTCCGAAGTTAAAAACGATACTAATGCAGCTGCAGAAAATCACAATAGGATGTAGCTAGTCCACAGAGCCCAATATGAGCACTAGTTAAGTGCCTGAATTAGAAGGCAGTGTTCCTCATGTAGCCGGTGAGGCTTTTGGAATGGTTGCTGACCAGAAAAACTCCATCGATGAATGGAGGCTTCTAATTCCGGCAGCTAAGTTAGATGCAGCAAAGCTGGACACTTTGAATACACCCAGTGTATCAGTTCTGCATGAGTGTAGCTGTCATACTGGCTTGCTGATGTTTTGCTGATGCTGAGGTCTTTCTCATCTTTCCATCTCAGCTATATCTTTGCTGAAGAATGGGTGTGACCCACTGTTTGCAGCTCTGCCCTTCTTGGAGTCAACTGGAAACCGGAGTTGCCGGTCTGCAGGAAATAATAACCATGCCATTCCTTTAAATGTTAAATTTAACCAGTGTCTGCAAAGGGGGTCTCAGAGTACCTGATCCTCAACTGTACCTGACAGGGTCCTATTTTCAATTTTGTGGATTGAGCTGTTTCCAGTAAAATAGTTCATTTGATTTGGGTCTATTTTATTCTGTTTAAAGCATGCTTTCTACATATTTTCCGAGTCTCATATTTCTGTTCAGTAACGATAGTTTTGTGGCGAGGTTTGTATATCTCATATATGTTCTGTAACTATTTTCTTGGTGTTTCAGATTAAATCTTTCAGATGAAGAATATGATAAAATATTCCACTCTATTAATGGGTAAGTTTTGAGCACTGTTTTTCCTCTTGAAAGACATGATAGTTCTGGTTTTGAGCTCCGCTGTATTCCCAGGAACACCACTGGTCTACTTTCTTGAGAGTTTGTGCTGAGCATTGCAGGCGTGTAAATACGTGCTAAGGCAGGGCGCACACTATTTCATCCCTTGTCGGTTTGCTGCCTTTCCTTCCTTGAGGCACATGTCAGATAATCTGCAGCAGTGCCGAGGCTCATCATGGCATTATTCTGTGCTTGTCTAAAGGCAGACAGAAGTGTCATTGTAGCGGCTAACAGTGTTACAAATGAAATAGCCCACTTCCTCTTTGTTAATTTTTTCCTCTTCTTCATTTGAGCGATCACCTTCATTTTGATATTTAATAGCACTTGCTGGGTGTTTCATCCCTGTTCCTACCCTTTCTTCCCTTTTCCAGTCCTCTTCATATCCTCTATCGTAAAAGTTTCTGATTTCCAGCCTCTTCTACCCTTTTCTCTTTGGGTGCTTTCTCTCTTGTTACTTGAATGGCCCGTCTTGCTTGTGATTCAGTGGCTTAGGTCTTTGTAAGACAAACATTCTAACTTTTCAACTGACCTATGGCAACTGTCCACCCATGTGTGCTTCCTACAGTTTAAATGTGGGGTAATGTGATCTAATTTAACACCTCTTGATTGTGAACTTAAGCAAAGTCAAAACCTTTTACGTTTGCCTTGTGCTAAAAGTGCAGTTCAGAAGAGTTAAAGCAGCTGATGCTACACTTCACAGGCTTGGTTGTATGTGAGGCCATAGTATGTGATGGGGCTACTTGCAGTCATGAGATGAGCATCTTAAACCTTTCATATTTTGGTAAGCTTATGCCCATACTAGAATGCTAGTCAACATGTGTAGAACTTGCAGGTTTAGACCTCTGGCTGTCTGGGGAGAGCCTTATCCTCTTATGCTCCACAGCATGCCCTGTACACTAAGACATGGGTCTTCGCAGTCTTGTGGTATAAGCAAGAATAAGACAGTGACACTTTCTCCTCTGTGGCTCCTCATGTTGGAGACAAAAGGAATCATTTCATCCCTTTCTGATGGCTGCCAACCTCTCTTTGGTTGCCAGAAGGACTTTTACCCTTTCACCAGTGAGGTCTCCCATTCTTTCTACCTCAACAACTACCTCAATGCAGAAGAGGGTGTTGGACAAGTAAATCCAGTTCCCTTATCCTTCTGTCTTTGCAGAGACTGTTGGATTTGTGCTATGTAGGTGGGCAAGTATGATTTATATTTGCTCTTGTTGTCCTCTACTGTTAGCTAATGGCTTCACAGTATAGCTGTGTGTAAATAACAAATAAGATCTCTGGAGGAAAGGACTTCCCATTCTGTTGAAACTTGGAGTAAGAAAGAGATACCTTGCTCTTTCATGTTGTAAGAGCTTACCTCCAGCTTCTTTGCAGTTGGAAATCATTTATTATTAAATGCCACCTTCTTAAAATCATGAAGTTTACTATAGTAGAGACAGAATTTTATGTATATAGCAGTGTACTCCTGAGCTAACCTTTGAAATTCATAGTGAACATCATCAGCTCTAATCAGTTAGAGACTGGAATGCAGGTATCTGCATTTCAATCTGCTTATGACAACGCCAAGCCATTATCATTGCTACTTAATGCAAAAAGGAAATAACCCATTAGCAGAAATGACTGTTGTTTTTCCTAATTAATATTGGCCAGTTTTTGAGTTGAACAAAAGGAGTAGGTGAAGTGACTTTTTTACTGCTTCCAGGTAAGGATCACCTTATTTGTCTAACTGGATCTCTGTAGAAATCTACAATCTGGCCTGTTTTGAAAATACGTGTATTCATTTTCTATGTTTGCACTGGAGAGTAATCCTATTTATATTTTTTTGGTAGAAAAGTAGAGCAGTGTTCACATACTTGGTGGCATTTGCATGATCTTGTACATAATTCACCTTAACGTAAACCTGGTGTCACAAGGGTTTAGACGCATGCTCGTTCTCCAGTGCTTGGCATCATTTGAAATTTTAGTTGTTTCTAGATGCTCCTTGGTATCTCACTAATACAGGTTGCCATTTCCAGAGCACAGAAGTGTAGAGGAAATCCTTCAGACATTTTGGTAAAAAAATCAGCAACTGATGGATGTGACTTGGGTGAATCTAGTTGAGGTTCTGCTGCGGTGGGTTAGGGAGCACTTACACATTCAGTTCTGTAGGTACCTTTCCAGTTACAGCCAGAAAAGAATTCCTTTATTTTGTGTTACTGTCTCTGATGGTACTTGGTTACTTTCCATGTCATCACGTGTACGTGGGAAATCTCTGCTAGGCTGTACTGGGTCTTTTGTGGTGTTTGGGCTTGGGGAGCAGCTATACAGAGAATTGCCATTGCTGATTATTTTTTTTTTTTTGACTATGTGTGTGTGTAGTGGAAGAAGTTTGTGCTCTATTTCTTTGAAATTGTCTTTGAGATTGCTTTGTCTTCTTTGGCTATATTAGATCCTGTGTGACCAAAGATTATGCCCAAGTGTACTTTTCTTTTTTTTTTTCCCTTTTAATAGGAACTTTTTGATCTGCATTGTCTGCAGTAAGGTCACTCTGCCAGGGCCATAATTATTCTTTACTGAAGTTGAACAGGATGAGTTAAGGTTGGGGCCAGGATTTTAAAGTAGTAGGGAGCACCAACTAAGAGTCAGGACAGGATTTGACAGAGTCATGACACACAACCCTGTTGTATACCAGCTGAAATCTGTATGTTTTGTCTATTTTCTGTTTACTCTCTTTGTCTCCTCTTCCTTATGTTCCACTAGACTCCCTCACTACTTTGTGATAGTAACCATTCTTCAGTACAAGAACACTAAGATTTAGGATATGATTCAGTTAAAGACTTAGACACCTGATCTTAGCTGTCTGTGTGTGTGCTAGCTGTCTAAACTCCAGTAATTAATGGAGGGCTAATCAGTACAGCCAGTGGAGCCTTCAGGGCTTTCCAACCTACCAGTCAGTTAGGTGTCAGCTCTAGAACACGTATTTGAGTCTCCATTGACTGTTCTGACTAGATCCCTGCTGCCTGTAATGAAGCTTAGATGCCTGTCTGAAGATTTCTGAAATTCAGGTGTTTCAACCTCGACCTGAATTCTACCTTTAAAACCACTGTCAGACTTTTTTCTGTGTACATTTTCCAGGTTTTAATTTGATCACCATTGCTAATCAAATTCTTGGATGTTGCCTTTCAGGGTCCTTTTTCCAGGAGGTGGTGTGGATCTTAAGACTTCAGAATATTCCAGGGTTGCTAAGATATTTTACCACAAGGCATTAGAGGTAATCACTAAGGAACGGTCTGTTCTTGTTACTGTCACTGTTCAGAGGTCAAAATGACAGGGAGGCTCATATTTTCAGAGTTAAGCATTGGCATCCAGTGTGTTAACTGTAAACATGATAAGAAGTAGCTCATTGCTGGCTTCTGCATAAAAAAAAATCATTTAACAGCTTAAGATTGAGACCTCCGACACCCTTTCCTTTTATATGTTGTGTCATGGTCTTAAACTCCCAAGTTTTTCAGGTGATAACAGCATCATTTATTTATTATACCTGGGGCTTTATGGCTGTGTGGAACTTGCAATAAAGTAATAATAATGCCATTCAAAAGCGCAAAGTATCCATTGAAATTAAATGTTGAACCAAGATAAGCATAAATGTAATAATCTGTAGAAGTGTTACGACTGAAGTTTAGCCTCGAAAGGAATTCTAGAGAGACTCTCAAATAAGCCAATTTACAGTAATACAACATACATGTTACAGCTAGTGAAACACCTTTATTCTTGCTTATCTATAAGTAGATTTAATTATATCTTTGGAGGTGCAGATGAGGGGGGCTGCCTTAGCAGTTTATACCGTTTTATCGGTTTCTTTGCATCGGTAACTGTAAATGTAGCAGATTTTTAAAGTAAACGCTACCTTAATTTATAGCACAAGAAAAGCAGGAAGAACACTTGAAAGATTATATTAATAATCTTTTAATATTTATAAGATCGTTAGCTTTATTAATAAAAGATTTAATTTATGAGAAAGCTGTTTCCAATAACATCAGGAAGGCTCTGAATCCTTATTGAAGATTTCGTTCTCTTACAGCACAAGAGGTGGGTTTTTTCAGACAGTAATCAACACATTTTGAAATAAAATTTGCATTGTGGAAAGGCATGGAGATTCACTGGGCTTTATATACAATCCCTATGATTTGTTAAGGATCATCTGTATTCAAATTGAATAAAAATGTAAATTTTCATCTTTGTTTGCCCTTCACTGGCTTTATTTCACTTTCAGCTAATGTTGATTAAAATTGACACAGAAGTCATACTTTGGAAAACTTTGCCCGATTCTAGAGGCAGTTATGAGTAGTGCTTAAACTGTTACCATGGTAGAAGTGTTCATTGGCTGTGAGGAATTCCTTTTCCACCCTTGCTGCCGGCTTTCCAACCGCAGGCAAGGGAAGCGCAAGCAGCAGCATTCACAGGACCAGTCAGCTGCTGGAATTCAATAATTCAATTTCCTACTGTTCAGTCCCCATGGTACCAATGTTGGTGTTATTTTGTCTGTCTTTATTTGTGGGGATTGTTTGTTAGTCTGTTGCCTTAAACCTGAATCTTGCAAATACGATCTCACTTTTATGGGAGACAATTAATCTCATTTGTCCCTTTGAAGCTGCTCACTGTGTGAAGTGCAGCCTGTGGGCTTGGAATTCAGTATTGGAGCAAGGGTTTCTTGTGGTTTGCAAGAAATTCTGTTGACAGTTCACACTGATTAACTGAATTGCAGACGTCATGATTTCATGATCAGAGAGGCAGTTTGATTAGATGGTATGTGTACTTCAGGTGAGTGAAAGACAGAAAATAATTTTCAGTTCATCATAGGTAACCCTTACTAATAAGTTGCGATTTTTTACGGTGCTATTTGTGACAATTGTGTGTTTTGATTTTCATCTTTCAAGACTTAATTAGTGCTATAAAATATTGGTAGTTTTACTAACGTAAGGTAAGCTGCAATAGTCAAGAGGATATTAAGAGGTACAGAATCAACTGAATTTTATGTTTTTTTTTTTTTTTTTTTTTAAATGTATGAAGACTCCTTTTCTCCATTTTCAAATGTCCCCAATGACAAATGACTTGGTCTGGCTCTGCTTTAATATGAATAGAGGGTGTAAAATTCTGATCCCCATCCAAGTCAGTAGAATTTTACTAGCTAGGCAAAAACCTAAGTAAAATACTGTTTTCCAGCTTTTAAATTAGTTTTTAAAATGTCATGTCTTGGGTGTTCTTTAATATATACTTAGCCTCCAGGACAATGTTTGTTAAAAAAAAGGGGGGGGGGGGGGGGGGCACAAAATATTTGTTTCAGCTGTAACTGTTCTTAAACTGTAGCTATTTTTTGCTTTTAGTGGTTTTATTCCTCATTTACATGTAAGAAGACAGTGAAGTTGCAAATCTTGTCTCTAGCCATGCATGATGGGTAGTCATGAAGACTCTGCAGTACTCTTAGTCTTCTTTCTGTAAATCTTCCGTATCTTGCTCATAGAAGAAGTAGTTGTATGGCCTTTTATTACCATACTATTAGTAATGCAGTAGAGTCACATTTTTATTCTACGCCTGTAATTTCAGCTTTCTCAAGAAGGGCTTTTGAGCAGCAGCTTTTCAGGGCAGGGGGTGTGGTGTGGTATGCATAAATTAAAAATGTTTAGAAACAATTTAAGAAAGACTACTCAGATTTCCCAAAAATGGGAGTTCTGAAACATCCCAGTCTCTAACATGCACTTACTGTCAGGAGTAAACTATACAAAAATGCAAATTTCTACTGCATGTATGCACTGTGCTTCATTAAATGACAGGAAGATAGTTGTGTTCTCTTTTTGCTTTCCATTTCTTCTTTTTGCTTTCTTTTGTTTTTGCACTTACCTGCCAATTTTTATTATTTTGAAAATTATTGTCACTTTTTTTGTGTTGCTTAAACTCACAATCTGTCTTTCTGGAAAACAGGTCCAAACCTGCTAGTTAAGCAAGCATGTATGTATGCAACTTAAGACTGTAGCCATGCTAGTAATAGGATTTATGGTTTCTTAATACAGATGGGTGGCACAGGCATATGGACATTGCAAAGGGCCCTTGCTATGTGATCATAACACACTTCATATAACATTACCAATTGTAGTAAGTAGGCTTTTCCTCAAAATGGTGACAGACTCGTTTGTGTCCCTTCTTATGATTGCCTTTTTTATAGAAATGTTGCTATTTTGTGGTTTCTGTTTAGGCTGCCCTCAACGTTGCTTATTTGTAGAACAGAACAGTGCAAATTAATAATAAAATTGGGCTCAGTTAGCTGCTTCAGTGGACGTGTGTATATCCCCTAGCCTTCATATTTTAGGAGAAAAACTAAGGAAGTTTGTGTTTCTTTCAATTGTAAGTGAACTATTACAATTCCTCCGGTAGCAATTTGTACTGCTGTAGCAGTTTTAGTTCTCACCCACACAAGAGAAAGCAAAAGGATTAGGAAGTTCTCTTAAATCTTTTTTCTGTAAATTTTCAGTACTTTTTCCTTATGTTGTTGCTTTTTATTTTGAAGGCTAACGATAAAGGAGATTATTTTCCAGTATGGGGAACATGTCTTGGACACGAAGAGCTTACATATCTCACAAGTGGCGAAGTTTTACTTGTTAATACCAAGACGGATGGTTTTGCACTCCCTCTGAACTTTACCTCAGGTGAAAAATCCATCCCGTCCCATGCCCGAGTTGCTGAGAGGTGTTGTGTTTTGTTCATGGTAAACGTGCAGGGGTGAATGCTTGGGAGGTTTCTGACGATTATCTTGTTAAATTCTTTCTTATCAAGTTGCCATGACTGTTTTTATAAAGACAGAGCAACTCTATCCCTTCTGAAGCGGAGGTGTGAGCACAAGCTGTTTGAAACCAACAGCAGTCAGCAAAAAATACAGTTGTGTTGTGTTTGACTCTTTGACTCATTCGGTAATTTGGAACTACAAACATAATGTGGGTTTAGGCCCCTTTTTGTTAGAGTTGACCAAAAATCATGGGTCCAAAACCTATCAAACTTGGAGAACAGGTGATTTTAATTTTTTTGAAATCGCATCTTTCCTAATGATGAATATTAGTATTGCTGTCCCGCTTGTACAGTACTGAAATCAGAGAGATCCCTTGAGAGAGAGCTGTGCCACTCAGCAGCACTGGCAAAATGTGTCCTCTGTTGATACTTTATCCTTTAATTTGTGAGTAACCCATCTGCGAATCGGGTAGCATTCACAAATTTCTTCATTTGTGCACATTGTGAATGGAAAGGTCACTGAAATGAGTGGCAATGAATGATGCTTATTTTATCGACAACTTAGGTTGCAAAGTTGGGCCCTCTCTGGATCAAGACTTGATGAGAGTGGTAACAGCGTACTGGAAATCTCTTGTAGTTATTTCACTGTTTTTCCTCGCAGTGTATTCTAAAATCATAAAGTTATACCATGGAAAAAAGTTTACTTGAATGCAGTATTTTATTAAATTTGCCTCCTGTTCAGTATTAATCCACCTGTTAGCAGTTTGGGTAATTGACAATATCCTTTTTTCGTTCTTCTTTGCAATAGCTGCAAAAGACAGTAGATTATTCAAGAATTTACCTGATGATGTATTACATGCGTTTGCTACTGAGCCACTGACATCAAACTTTCATATTTGGAGCCTCTCCATGGAGGTAGTTGATCATTTTATTTCCTGAACACAAATGCATTTGCTCTGTTAACTAGAAATAAATGAACAAACAACACATATTTTTTTTTTTACCCCTTCCTTATCACAGAATTTCACAAAGAATGAAAAGCTTCGTAATTTCTACAATGTTCTGACCACTAACACCGACGATGAACTGGAGTTTGTATCTACCATGGAAGGTAGGGAAATGAATTTCCTTTGTAAACTGTGACGGTAACAAACTAGTTCTTCAGAGCTGGTGTGGCGTTGGTGTAATCTGCGCTGTGAGCTGGCTGCCAGAGTAGCGGGGCGAGCATCAGCCCTGTCCCTGCTCTGGCTGTGAGGAACATACTCTGTTTGCCGGGATATTCTGTTTTTGGAGTACACAGTTGTCAGGCTGACTACTGCTCTTGCCTGCTGTTCCCCTTCCAGATATGATGTTACACTTTAGCAGTGGAATATTCAAGCCCTGTGAAGTGTAGAGCACTCCTCCTGTAGGGGGTTAATGGCTCTGCGGTGGGGCGCGCCTCTGTTGCGCCTCGCTTTCTCTCTGCCTGCTTATGCTCCTGTTCCTGTGGTGCTGGGTGCCTGTCTGCTGGGCTAGGAGAACAATTCAGGGTGCTGAGGTAACACCAACATCCCTTGTTACTTGAGCAGCAATACTGGTAATTGCTGCCCTCCAAAAGCCTTTTGCATTACTTACCTTGCATTGTGTACGTTTTGCCCCAGGCCTGCCCAGCTCAAGAAACAAGTTAGGTCCTTAGGGAGTGTTTTCTCTTGATGGGTGCACTACTAGCAGCTCTGCAGTAAGGCCTAGCTGTCTGCCCTTGGGATTCTTCTGTGTGGCATACTGTCTGGCCTCCAGAAGAGAAGAGTAGGAGTTTGCACAGAAAACCTCATTAGGCTCATGACAGACATCTCCCATGCCTGCAGGCAGGTTATCACAGAGCAGTCATCAGCTGCTGTGCCGCTCTTCTCTGTGAGTCAGGTAAGGACTGGCTTCCCCCTGCCTGTATCAGGCCTGGCACGGAGCAGATGGGAGCTGCCCCTGGATTGACTGGGCCTTCAGAAGATTCTAAGACTTGGATCTCTCCCGTGGAACTGACAGGGTTGTCCTGTGTGGCTGTCAATATTTTATGTTGAGTGATACTGGCAGTAGATAGTAAGTTTTGAGACTGGTACACTCATAATACTATTTTTTTTTTTTAGCGTATATATATATTCATTCTGAAATAAATAATCAAAAAAGTGATGTACAAAAAATCTTCTTGCATGGCATGAGACCCTTCTTTTACAATATCCATTTTTTTCCTTCAGTCCTACTATGACTTTAACAGAGTTTCAACTTGCTGTTTAAGCTTTCGTGAAACTGTTGATAAGTGAGGTATTTTTGTAGCTTATCCTTTGGGTTTCTTTTGCAGTAAGACTAAGCACATAATTCTTAAGACCCTGCTTACAAGCTTTGTGTTTGTTGCAGCATACAAATACCCAATTTATGGTGTCCAGTGGCATCCAGAGAAAAATCCTTTTGAGTGGAAGAATTCACCAGGCATTCCACATTCCCCAGCAGCTGTAAGAGCAGCATATCATATAGCTGACTTCTTCGTTAATGAAGGTAAAAAGTTTATTATCTACAAATGTCATTTTTTAGAGTGAAGCATTAGTGAAGATCTTTGAAGACGACAGACCTCTTTTTCAGCTGTCAAAGTTCAGTAGCTCTTACTGCTTTCTGAGAAGATTACTCTGCAAGCTTTATAGGCTTATAAAAATCCAAGGGATACTAGAAATAGAATGGCTTACTAAAAGCGACATCAAAACGCCGGGCATTCCACAAACTTTTTTTGGTAGACTGGCTCAAAAGCACTGTTTTTTTGCTGTGACTTTCTACCACTTTGAATGATCACTGTAACATTTTAGCCTCCTTTGCACAAAGACAAGGAAACAAACAAAAAAAAAAATTACTCCATAATTCCAGAGGTTTCTTGAGTTCCAAACTGAGTTACTCATTCAATGTATTCTCAGTTTTGCTTGCAAAATATATGCACCAAGATTGTAAATGCTGCTTGTGCAGCATATAGATATATCACAGGGGTGCAAGATGGTGCCCAACAGTTGTATACTATAGAGAGCACAAGAAATTTTGAATTTTACATAGCTTCTCATTTGTTTGTTTATACCCTAAGAAGCTGGAAGTAACTAATGTGTAAAATTTTGGTAATTTGTGACACCTCTGGTCTATTTGCTATAAATAAGCAGGATGTAAATACAGGAGTATTTGAAGGGATCAAACTTACTTTATTCCTTTATTTATACTTAGTAAACCATTCTGTTGAAATACCATTTTCGTATTTTAAATTGACTGTGAAATTGTCTTACCTGATCAGTTGGGACTATGAAGAACATAATCAATAACCTAATTGAGTTTGGTCTCTAGATTTGATCTCTAATCAAAAGAGTCACCTAATTGCAGAAAGCAGACAGTGATTTAAAGAAATGCAACTTGTGCTGCACTGGTCAGTGAGAATGTAGAAATAAAAGTTGTGCTTCATAGGAATTCAAGGCTCTTTTTTGCATAAGGTAGTCCTTTTCCCCTTTGCAAAAAGGTAGCAAAATCGTGTAAAATTTCTTGTCAGTATCCATAAGCCTCCTGCATTTTAAGATTTTTGATAGGGTACTAATGGGAGACTAGGACGAAAATAAAGGGGAAGGTAGAAGAAAGTGTAGCGTGAGTCTGTGTTTTCTTTTGTAGTCTAATACTGGAATGCAGCATGTTTTCTAGTTGTGTTTGCTGCATTCTCTAGTATCTGTCTGCACACTGTGTTACAGGCAGAAGGAAGCTTGCTCAGGCCATTATGCAAGTAAATGTGGCAAAATAAGTGCCAGCTCTGCTTGTAAGTCCTCTTGAGACACAGTGCATATGAGTTTTTTCATATATGTATATTTTTTCATATAATGAGCTTGTGCATAGTACCGCACAGATGTGTCACTAGCTTTTGGATCTGTTGACCTTTAATTCTAGTAGAGCAAACGTGTCAGCTGTATGTGTCTGTCCCCCATTTCATATACCAAGTCAGGAGTTATTCTTCATCACGTTCCCCAACCTGTGTATAGCTGTTCTTACTGAGTACTTTATATCATGATGTTGCAATGAGTAATCGATGTTTTTAGCTAATGTAAGGCAGAATGTCTTCCTTAACTTTGAAAACAAATAATGGGGTGAAAAACGTAAACTGGTCTCAGCTAGCAAAAAATATACTTCTCTATGATCTCTTAATAACTAAACCATTCTACTGAAATATCATTTTCATATCCATCAGTCGTTAATTTTAAACTTGTATAGAATTGCCAGCATGATAAAAGAGAAAAGGATTCGTTTTTTTTATTGTCCTCACCAGCACAGTTCATGATAACACTACCAACTTTCAGTACATTGATACTCTGATTCATTTCTTTCAGTATTACAAGTACAGGTATCTCTGGTAGATACTGCCAGTATCTCATGGATATGTATTTTTGTACAGTCGTTGCTTTAACTTAATAGTTAAATTTCTCCCTCCCCAGTAATAAGATACAGTGTAACCAGCTTTCTGAGGAGGTATCTTCACAGTTCTACACGCACAAGCTACTGTAATTCCATTTGCTCATATGCTACCCAGAATAACTTACTTTGCCAAGAAAGATGCTGTCAAGGAGGATCACAGTAAAGTGATGTGTATTTTTACAATGTTTTACAGCCCGGAAGAGCCTGCACCATTTCCCCAGTGAAGATGAGGAAACCAAAGAATTGATTTATAATTATACTCCAGTTTATACAGGAACATTTTCTTCATTTCAGCAAATCTATTTCTTTGATTGAGAATCGTGTCAAAGGTGCAGTGTTGCTATTTATAAATGGAATTATGTGCTGGCATTGCATAATTAATCTGATATAGTGCACTGCACACGACAGAAAGCCAGAACAGTTCTCTTTCTTTGCAATGATTTATCTTGTGTTTGTTCTGCACTGTTGGACCATTAATATAAAAATTTACATTCGATAACATAATTGTATTGGATCACACATTAAGGGGATCTTCCAGGGAAGAGGTCCTGATTATGCTTACAAACTTGGAAGCAATCATGTTTAGTACAAGGTAAAACACTGTATTTGGATATTTTAAAATAGGAGTCATCTTTGTAAAATGCTGTGGACTATGACAGAACTAGAGGCTTAGATACATTGCTTAGTAAAATCTTATCCTTTTCAGTTAATTTAACAAATGACACTCTCGGGTTTGTCATAAATACGTGTATGTAACCGAGTTGTTGACAGGGATTATGTTGTCATTTGAAAAATTGACCAAAATAGTAAGGAGGCATGATAGCAAAGAGACGTTTTTGCCTAAAAGGCACGTGTTGTATCTCATATGTGAAACTGTTTTTGTTGGTTTTGTTGTACATTTAGCATTGTTTGGAGAGCTTATACCGTGTGAGGTCTACATAACATGAGGATGCACTGTAAACTAGGCATTGCAAATATCAGGTAAAGTAAGTAAGTTTGGAGGGCATAGTTAAGTGCTGATCCAGTTTCTGTTCTTTTCAAATTCAGATTTACATATCCTCCAAGAAATTATCTGAGTAACTGGAATCAGCAGACGGATACAAGAGGCAGACATCCATTCCCTTTGTACTTAAAAGAATGTAAACCTAATTTTTAATTTACATGGTCTGACTTTTCCTATAGCTACTGGATAGAAGTCTCACTTTGAGTCAAGAGGTAGTTTGCTATTGTTAGTAAAGACAGTTTCTTTCTGTTTTGTTGATAGTTTAATGCAGCTAAAATTCAAACAGCAGATGAATGTATATGAGAAACCTATTAATGTTGACATCGTGTGATAATAGCAGTTGCATTCGATACACTGTGATACCTTTTTTCCTTCTTTTTTTTTCTTTGCTTTGCTGCACACCTAGTTAAAACTTTGTTCAGTGGTTCTGTGTGGTGTCCAAAAAGGAACTAAGATGAGACAATCAAACATAACTCTCCTCTATTGCACAACTTCCAAACTCTGTTCACATCGAGGGATTTGGAGTTTATGAAGAATTTAGGTTTTTTACCTCAGCTCTGCTTTGTAGTACTTCATACTCTCAAGTACTATATCTTGAGTAAAGCTGGTACATTTCTCAGGTTTTTAAAGTAAAAGACTCTAACTTGTTCTTTATCATGAAACAACTGTGTAAGAAAATGTGAAATGCATTAGTTAAAAAAACTGTAAGGAAACATTAACTGTGACTACCAGAAAGACACTACCAGGTAATTACAAGTTTAAAAGTGATATTGCAGATTATTTTTACATTTGTCAGATCAGCCAAATTCAGTAAATGGAACTTGTTTATAATATTATAGGTGACTTTATTAAATATATTAGCTTGACTCCTGAGTAGAACCAATTGTAGAGCGAGGATTATTCTCTACAGTTTGGTATAAATGTAGCAGCTAGGATACTTACAAACCAAGCTCAGTCTTCTACTTGTTAAGGCTGAGCTCTTAGGCAAGTTCTTAGAGCTATGCCAAAGTAAGGAGGGCAGGATTTAGCCTTAAAAACAGGGATCAATCTTGAAAGTGAAGCGTCTGCTAACTGTGATGGTAGTAATTAGTTCCTAAATGTGTAACTATAAGCAATAGTTTGCATAATATGATGAGCAGTGTACTTGTTATGAATTTGTATGTGTCTTTCCTCTATATCCTTTATCTTGTAAAGCCTTATTTGGTGGTATCCATGCTCGTTCTATGATAGATGAAATAAAATTTTATTCAAGCAGATGTTTGGGTTTTTTGTCCTCTTTTGGATACCGTGGATAAAGCATTAACAGTCATTGTCTTTTTATTTCCATCTGTGACAGTCACAAATCAGGAGGCCACTGTGCCCGGTGCCCACAGGGTGTGGTCGTGTCAGCAGGTTGGGGTCAGGGTAAGTGGGGTCGTAGCCCGGCGCAGACCTACCTACAGCACAGTTCAGGCAGGGGCCTGTGCTCAGGGCCTCTGCTTAAATGCACTTGCCAAGGGGCAGAAGCTCTCAACAAGGCTGCCCACAGCTCTTCCTCCTGCAGCCTTTTCACAGCAGGCTCATCCCAGGTGCAGGGTGGTGGTGAGCTCACTTGCCATGTGAATTTGGGGAGGGGTTGCAGAACTGGTAGGTGCTCTCCGGGCTCTGAGAGCTGTAAGCAAAGCAACTGTGGTCTGCAGTGTCCAGTGAAATGAGAACTTCCTTCTGTTCCCTACACCATCAGACATCTTCCATCAAGTTCTCCCCTAGTCAGAAGCAAACTATAGGAACCCAGAGTTGGCTAGCACTCGCCCAATAGAGGGTTTAAAAATTTGTTTTAAAGAAGTTTCAGTAGACCTCCTCTCTGCTCTAAGTGCTTTACAATATGTTTTTTCATTGTTCAAACAGAACTTCGAACATAGTTTTTAGGATTAACGCCGGAGACAGATGAAAAGGAGCCTGTGGATATTTCAGTAGAATGGTTTAGTTGAGTGATCATAGATGAGTATATTTTTGCCAGCTGAGAGTATCTCAGGTTATTCAGAGCATGGCTTATGAGCCTAGTCATCTTGTTTGCTGCTGTGTGGGGAGAACATCCATTGATCAGTCAGATAACCCAGTGTGTCTTGCAGATGATATAAAATCATCTTTAAGAAGGTAAAGTTTCAAATGGTTTTCTCTTTGTACTATTCTGCTTTTAACACTAGATGGCCTACAAGAACCAGTGTTTCCTATAACTTTGTAACTGGGTGTGGTAGCATCTCAAAAGTTTACAGTGACATGTCGAATAGGGTTTTTACTGTACTGTGGTATTTACGTAGGTACCAGGGTATTTGGGATGCAGGGGAAGAAGAAAGGAGGAGACAAAATAAATCTGGAATTTTACTGGCATAACTGTCCAGATTAGCAGGATTGCGAGAGAGAAACAGAGAGTCCATGAGCATAGAATTAATTCAGCTGGGATTAAATCTCGTTTGAAGTGAATACTTAAAACATTTGAGCATTAGCTGGAGGTGACTGGAATGACATCCCTATTTTCAGGTAGTTGATCATTCCCTATAGCTACAGAATCTGTCTTGGTTCCTTTTTCTGTAAATATGAAACTAGCTCATGCAAAACAGGACAGCTCAGATAGGAAGAACTGAGAACCTGAGTTTAGAAAACCTTTGCCTGGGAGGTAGGAAAAACTGGTTTGAATTCCTTTAGGTAAGGAAGAAATTACAAGGAAGAAACATCCTGAGTAAGTGCTCTAACTACTGAGTGAAAGAGGAAGAGCCTAACCCACAAGCTGCATTGTGGGGAAAAAAAATAAGCGAAACAACTCACCCAAACCCCTCACCACTTCTGGGCTGACCAGCTATGCAAAATTCCCTAGTCAGGCAGTGAATCCAAAGCAAAGATTAGTGTTTGAGCAGGCCGTGACCCTGTTGTTCCCACTTCAATGCTGACTAGCTTATTTTTAGGCTAATGTTTAACCTTTTTCCCCTCCTTATCTGTGCCACCTTATTTATTGCTGTGAATGCCACTCAGCAGAACAATTCTGTAAGCTAGGCTGTACTGCATTTCTGGGCAGATTTGCATAGAAATTACCGACCTATTGGGGAGTGGAGGTTCTTTTCTTGGAACAGCCAGGCGAGTACAGATGAGAAGTTTGAACAATCAGAAAGAGCAGTAATAAATAGTTTCTCCATTGTGTGTTATCCCTGCATTGCCCCTACGAGGCAGGGGTCCTGGGGGGAGAGAAATAGCTGTGTGTGTGATCAGGCTGCTGAAGACTGCATGCCAATGCATACTCAAGAATGTTTGGGTTGGAGGTGGGAGGGTGTACACAAGATTTCACAATTGCTTTTATCAGAGTAATTAACTTCATTTTTATTTTATTTTATCTTGGTTTGGTTTGGGTTTTGGGTTTGGTGTTTTTTTTGTTTGTTTGTTTTTTTTCCTTATCTGGAGTTCACTCGTGTGTATTCAGTGGTGGTATCATCAGAAAAGCGATGGGAGTTGGCTAGCATTCAAGTCCCATTAAGGTTTCTAAATGCCTGTTGAAATTATTTTGGTTTGAGTACTTATCTGTCAATCTGTCTTCCATGTATTTTGAGGTGATTGATTACCTTCCCTTGTTAGCCTTGTGCCTTTCCTCAGGGCAGGCCTTTTTCCTAATCTAGTGCTTATTTATAGGGCAAATAGTGAAGAATATCCTGCCCTGGGCCACCTGTTGATCAGGATACTATTCCAGCTTTCATCACTTCCTCATAATGCTTACATCTGTTTCATAATGGAAGCGGAATGCTTTAAGAGCCAGCTTTCTCTGTGAGTTCTTATATAACCAGAAAATTTCCAAGACCCTTTCATCCAAAAAGTCCAGACCGTCTAAAAATAGCTGTCACTATTTGAAAGAGCTCTCGAACAAGCCATTTGTTCCAAACTTAGCAAAAACCCATGAAGTTCCCTTCTTTGTGATTCTTAGAAATGTTGTGAACAAACATCCTTTGTAACCAAGCTTTCTGTAAATGAAAAGCAAAAAGCAAACAAAACAAAAGGCTGAAAAGAGTAAATTCTAGCAATTGTTGCTTCCGATGCAATTGGGTTGTGTACTGGGACTGTGTAGCTCCCAAGTTACCGTTGATCTAGAATGGAAGGTATTTCATTGTGTTTTTGCAGTTATACAAGTCCAAGAGCTGATTTTATACATGAGTTAATTTCTTACTATTTTCCCAAAGCGTAGATCGGCAGCAACTGAAAGCCTAAAATGGCAATTTTCTAGCTAGGAGCACATTAGGAAGTCAGTTTCCTCCTGTGACTTTTTTGAGGCATCAATATAAACACATTGTAATCACCTTCTTCAGCCCCAGAATTCAGCTTCAAACTGGGAAGTTTAAACTTCACATACCTGTACTTCTCTGGGATTTACTCAGCAGCTCTCACACTAGGCTAACTCCTTAAGGGCCTGATTTTTCACAGGACAATGAGACATTGTTGTGATTACTTATTATATTAACTACTAACAATGTATTTTATTAATAAGAATGTTAATTTTGGTGTTACAGGGGAAACAGAAAGTACAATGAATATTTTACAGACAATTTTTGAGATTCTTCTGAAGAGTCTCTGGCAGAATGAAGGTACTGCAGAGACGTTTCCCACACCTATTCTGACCTTGGATGGAGTTAGTCCTTGCAATCCTTCTAGGCTTCCAAATTCATCACTAGCATTTATACTGTTGTACCACTGATAGAATTTGGAGCCATTTTCAGCCCCGCAAAGTGGATCTAACCATAAAATCACGGAATGGTTTGGGTTGGAAGGGACCTTAAAGACCATCTAGCTCCAACCCCCCTGCCATGGGCAGGGACACCTTCCACTAGGCCAGGTTGCTCCAAGCCCCGTCCAGCCTGGCCTTGATGTCTTGGACTTCCAGAGGTAAAAGACAGAAACATGAAGAACGTTATTACCTGCTTTACTTGAATTTGAGGAATTTGTACTGATTATTTCTCATTAAGATTTACAAGAATCATCTCAGTCCACCCGTTCAGCTGAGAGTACCAGTAAATGTTTTGTCTCTAGAGTTATACCCACAACAGTTTTGTTTTTTTCTTTATGCCACTAAACTGAAAACAACATTTTCCTCTTACTAGAAGCAGAAGCTGGTTCACCCTTCATCCCTAGGCTCTTAAGCTTTACTTCAGGTTTCTCATCCCTCCCGAGGATGAGTTTGAACGCATCCTTATAGTTTTTCCACTTTGGTTCATGTAGCACATGCTACTTTGCAGCTCCTTAGGGAGCTTAGTTACTGTACCATAACTTCTAGCCAGCAAAGTCCCTGTTTCTGCCAGCACCAACTGCCATAGTCTTCCCAAAATTAGTCCCACTTAGACCAGTAGCTCCCTGGCCCTGAAGCACCAGTGGACACGCTAGCTGGGGCTCAGCACGCTGCTCCGTGCTGGGGGGGGATGCTGGAAAGGAAGCAGCAACTCAAGCCATCCTAGCCTGAGCTGTGATTAGGCAGACAGTGCTTTAACATAAATGTCTTTCAGGCCCTTTTATTCTTAACTATCAATGCTCCTGCCCTCCCTTCTTTGCATTTGGAAGGCTTCCCTAAGAAAGCCGTTTAGAATCGGTCAGCGGTTTCCTCTTTATTTTCCACACCCAGGGGATCTGAGACATGCAAAATGAATGAATCTGGACTAATTTCTGACTGCTTTAACCCAAAGGGAAGTGAAACTCGTTCTGTGGATACACTGTGGCTTTTAGCTGCACCTTAGTACAGCAAGGGGAGGAAAATTATAGCAGAGATGAAAGTGTATCTTTGTGGATAGATTTTGTTTGAAGGGGAGGTGAATCATACCATATCAGCTTGGGGAATATCAACCCAGACAAAAATACCTGTTCGAACAGGGCGGGCTTGATGGGCATCTTTTATTTTCCCAGATTTCTCACTCGAGCATTTTGATAGAGGAGTCCAGGCCGTTTTATAATGAACTACCCTTTTGGCAATCGTTCCTGCAGAGGCTCAGCGTGGATGGTGACGGTCACACCAGGGCTTTGGTGCTGAGCCCAGCGATGCCTCCTCCTGCGGCTTGGCTGGCTGTAGCGGTCAGGCCGCAGAGCTGCGTGGGGCAGCCACGTGGCAGACGAGGTTTGACAAGCCAGGGGGTTTCATGAATCCCACCCAATCTGTTATGTCTCACTGGCGCTTAAACAATTTAGGAGGCTTTTGCTTTACCAGAAGCAGAGCAAACCTAAGGCTCGTTCTCTACCGGTGAGCACGGACGTGCAC